GTTATACCAAGACGTGGGCCTGCACAAACAAATTTCTGGCTTAGGCTGTAGTATCCATTTCGAACTTCAAATACCAAATTTGAAACAATTTTGGTGTATTATATCACTACAATTACAATCAAAATACCGAATATTGAGAGGTACCGTTATATGGGGGTTATATGAAAACGTGGACCTACATGGCCCATTTACGAACTTAACCTGCCTACTGGCAAAATAAACATGTGTGCAAAATTTTAGTCTTCTATCTCAATTCGTTCGACAGAAATCACTAAATCGACTCAGAATTTTTTTTCAAAAATTATGTTTGTTGATTTTATGGGAAATTTGCTGTTCAACATTATACTTTTCATTCGTATTTTTTATTATTTTCTCAAAATGTTTAAAACTTCACTTCAAATGTTTAAAACTTCATTTTTAAATGTCATCATTTATTTTATTTATAAATACTCTTATTTTTTAGGTATGGCACATATTTCATCGACGTTCTGAGAGTGGTTTGAAAAGGAACAAAGAGCAAATCTTGTTGTTTGCTTAAAAAACAGCGGATTTTCCAAAGATAAAAACGGAGAGAATTGAATGCTCACAATTACAATCTCCCTTCTCAGAATGACACACCTAACTAAAAAAAGTCCAAATATAGAAATCCTTATCAACCATGAATTATGAGAGATATATTTGCATTAGCATAGCAAATCATTTTAAAACAAAAATAGATACTATTATAATCTGTTGTTGGAGCGCAAACAACTTAAGCAAACAATAAATACGAGGTCGAAAACTTTATTTGATCTCTCGCAGAAACTCATTACACGTCTAGAAACTGTTTTAGAATAAAACGTTCAGTACATATGACACTAAACACGCGAGTGGAAGATGTTGTGGTGGCACCGCACCACAGGCTAGCCTGACCACATACAAACTACATCAGGCAATATCTTAAACAAATATAGTTAAATCTGCAATATGGTATCTCAATGATGAATTCAATCATTTTTCTCATCTTTTGGGAGCAAATACATTGCAACTGGCGATTTTAATGCTAAGCACACTTTCTGAATATCTAGACTCCTTACACCCAATGGTAGACAGCATTTAAAGGCAATTTCGTCCTATAAACTAAATGTGATATGTACCTGTCAGCCTATTTACTGTTAAGGCCAGTAAAATTGTCTAACTTACTTGACCGCAAAGGTAAAAAACAAAATTATTAGAGAACAAATATCCATGTTACCTTTGTTCGACTTGTCGTCAGACCATTTCCCAACTATAAGAACATTTAAGAATCGTAACAGAATAACATACACAAAATATTTCTGTACAAACGTGCACTCAAATTAAACGAAGAGCGAAATTATAAAATATTTCTAAATAACACAGAACCCACAAAAAGAAATCAGTTTAGGTTATGGAAAGCAACAAAAAAAGTAAATAAATTTGCTAAGAACGTTGAATTAAAATCCCAGACCAAATATATACATACAGGGTAAGATAAAAAAACTGCAACAAAGTCAAACGCCATGATTTTTACATTTTTTTAAATTTTATTAAATGAAAGCAAAAAAATAGCGGAAATAGCATCAAATTTTAGATTTGTTTGGTGGCCATTTTGCGCTGGAATGAGGTTCCTTGCTTCATTTCCAGCCCGCAATGGCCACCAAAATCTACGGATGTATTTCAAAAAATATAAAAATTGTGTTTTTCCCTTTTTTGTTACGTGTTCACAGGTTCCTGATAGTGGAAAGGCAACTGTAATAGGTTTTATCAGACATGTCACAAAATCGTATCGAAATGGTTTGAATTCAAAATCGTTTTAGCTTATTCAGATTTCGTAAGATTAAGTGAACTACGAATTCAGTGTAAAAATGGCAAAATTATATATTCAATATGGTAACATTAGGGGAATGAAAGAACGAATGAATGAGGAATCAAAACAAAACACATGATTAGAAAACATTGTAGAACTGTAACTTGTGAAAAATAATCTGTTAATGAGTGTTTTTTGTGCAAAAAGAAAGTTCATTTCATTATTTTTTACGCAATGTTTTGATTGTTTCTGTAATTGAGGAGCAAAGTAATAAACACAATACAGAAAAAAACACGCCGGAGGAATTTAAGAGATGCTTCGCACAGAATTCCTTTGCCTGCGTCTAAAATACATATTAATTAATGATTAGTTGATTAAACAGCATTCCGCAATACATATTTCACATATTTTAAGATACATTTTTGTGTGTTCTTTTTGTTTTTTTCTCTGTGCTTCAATTTATTATTCGCATATTGTTTGGTTTCACAGATGAATAATTTTTGTTTAACGAAAAAAATGATTTTGCAACACTTTGTTAATAATTGACTTCGTCAATTTAGATTAACTGGTTTCTCAATTGACGAATTGCTAATTATTTTGAATAAAAAGATTAAAAATGTTTTTATTACATAAAAGTATTTTGAGTGTGTTTTAAAGTCACAAGTTTCTATAAAAATACAATTTCACTTGCAAAAACAAAAGTTTCAAATAAAAAAAAATGGTTTGACAACTTCAGAATGTTGACGACTTAAAATATAAAATGTGAGACAACATGCTAAATATTAGCATTTCCGTAATCTGAATCAATTTTTACTTCATATTTTAATACACACTGTCGATAACTCCGAAGTTTTATAAAAAGTGATATTTTTATTTCTGATAGAATTGCCGGGTTTATCAATATTCAGCCGTTTTTTTACATTGTTTCGAGCGCCTCTGAAGTATGACGGCAATGACTGGCATCGTAACTGCTTGTTATACCCTCCACCATACTATGGAGGGTATATTAACTTTGTCATTCCGTTTGTAACTCCTTGAAATAATCATGTCAGACCCAACAAAGTATATATATTCTTGATACCTAGCCATGCCGATACCTCCCGATATTCGGTACTTTCATGATTTTAGCGACATTATTCACCGTGATTGCTTCAAATTTGGTATTTGAAGTTCGAAATGGATACTACAGCCTATGACAGAAAATTTTCTGTGCAGGTCGAATAGCGCCCATATAACGGTAACTCCCAATATTCGGTATCTTTATGATTTTAACGTCATTATTCACCGGAGTAGTTTCAAATTATGTATTTAGAGTTCGTAATAGAAACTACGGTCTGTCACAGAATGTATTGATTGTAAATTGTATATGCAGGTCCAGTAGTGGGATTCTCTAAGTCATTATTTGAGTTACCGACAAAAATCGGTAACTTTAAAAAAAAAAAATTTTGATATAAAAAAGAAGTTAAAGTTCACAACATAGGCATCTATCGGTAGGTCTTAACGACTACTTTGATTTATACGCATTTTAAGTTCACCGACTTTTGTCGGTAACTCAAAAAATGAGTTAGAGAATTCCACTACAGGTCTTCGTATAGACCCATATATCAGTACCTCCCTATATTCGGTATTTTGACTTTATTTATTTTGATTTTAGGTACAATACTCACCAAAATTGTTCGAGATGTCATGTTTGAAGTTCGTAATGTATGCTACAGCCTGTGACAGAAAATTTGCTATGCAGGCCCAGGTCTTGTTATAGCTCCGATGTAACGGTACCTCGGTATTTTAATGATTTAAGCTGCATTATTCACCGTTTATGTCAAGTTCCGAACTTGAATATGGTAATGGCTTATGACAAATAATGCCTATGTAGGCCCACGTCGTATAGACTCCAATATGTTTTTAAGATTTTAATAGAATTTTTACGGCCAAATGGTGCAGGGTATTCAAAGTTCACAAGATATGGACTTTCGCAAAAGTTCGGAAATAAAGCTAATTTTTATACCCTCAATCATAATGCTAGAGAGGTATATATCACTTGATACGTCTAAAACGTGCCTCATCGTGTAATTACGATCATCAAGTAACTTTTATAAAATGTGGCATAAGATCTGTTACGAAGATGGTATATATCGGTTCACTCCCTCTGGTGCATCCCCCACAAACCGACAAAATGTTGAATATCCATGAAGCTAAAAATCTCAAAATTAACATCCGATTCCATTCAGACTTGGTACATCTCAATGTTTCCATCAACACAAAATCTGTTATGAAGATGGGAGACATAGGACAATTTCTTCCGATACATTCCCCACGTAGGGTTCAAGATTTTTACAAACTAAACGCATAAAGAAAGCGAAATAAGCATATCTTCAAATTTCACTCATTTAAACATATTTGCCTCTAAAGGGTCAATACTTGTATCTGTCAAAACAAAACGAGTCAGCGATTCCTTACAAATTTCTATATCCAAAATTTTCTCTCAACCAAATAATTGTGATGAATATAGAATTTATTGTTTCGCATAAAATTAGATATAAATATTCTATTTCTTTTAAATTTTGCGCATACCAATATTTTTATCTATATTAGATGAAGTATGAAAATGGAATACTTCTGTAGCTCATGCACATTTGTAATGATTGACCCTTAATGGTGTTGAATATATGATTTGATTTTTTACACAGTCCTCTTAGCGGCCAGCAAGTGCTTGCAGGTTAGGGGTAGTTCGTCGGAATTGGTGTGAATTCTTGCTAAAGGACTATGATTGGGCCTTACAAAGAAAAAAATCACGTGCTGTCATAGAAAAACTTAGTATATTTTTTCCGCTTTTGTGGCTCAAAAATTGGTCAAAGGAAGGAGATGTACTTTCACGAGCCCTTCCCAACCATGTTATAAATAAATCCTTGCCTTAATCTGCATAACCCAATTATCACATTATTTTCCATTGCTTACCTTAGGTTAAACATGTATTATTTATTCATATATTTTACAATTAAATCTTTCAATGATAATTTTAAATACTAGGGAATCATCTAAATGCTAATTTTATTCAAATGTGAAAGTTCATTGTGTTATTTTATAATATATATATTTTTATATTTAAGAATATAACCTCTTAAATCAGTTTAATTAGATACAACTTGTACAAAAAAAAAAAAAAAAAAAATACAGTAAATTATTAATTACTTACAATTAGTTCCAAAAACTCCGTACAGCAGGCCTGATGTGGAAGGATGGATGGATGATCTTACACGTGGTATTATAATATTTAGTGTATATATAATAGTTATTTTAATTGTCAGACATAAGCCTTTGCTTTTTTTTAAATATTAATATTTTCCAATAATTAGATTAGTTATTTTTATATTCTTTAAAATAAGTTTTCGTAAAAATTGACTTAAAAGGTGTAAGGCTTCAATGCCAACAATTGAGGAAAATTTAGTAAAAAATATTAATTATCGTCGCTACAATTCCGATTGGCTAATCCAGTTTAAAATTTGGAATCCATAAGGAAGGAAGGAAGAGCTTATTAAACAAAAATATTAGCCAATATTTTTGTTTCAGCACGTTTTGACATGCTTGGATCTAGCATGTGTTCTCCAAAGCAATTTTTTTTCCACTCGAAGGCTGATTTTTTTTTTTTTAAATTATCAAAAGGTAATCTTTCTTTCTTTAATGATCGACCAGTCTAAGCTTAACTTTCTTAATGATCCCTTCTTTTCTATTCTGTTTCTACCCTACCTACTATTCGAAACAACGATAGCCATACAAGATAAATATGCATGTCCCATTTCCACTGTTCCTATCTTAAATTATTAATCAGTTATTGATCACTCAACTTATAGCAGAGAGAGAGAGAGCATGCGTAGTAGAATGTAATTGGTAGCAACAACATTCATTCATAATCTTTGTTCATCATTCATCAATGAGATGATGGCAAAAACCGTAATATTGGGTCGACAAGTGTATTGAGTGTATCAAGTGTACTGCATAGCAACTAAATATACAGTGAAGAACAAAATATTTTGCACAACCGTCACAAAGCAGTCGATTTTGATTTTTTTTAAATGAAAATCTGCTGAAAACGTTTTGAACTAAGATGGATAGGCTTTTTGTAAATCTGTTGCGTGATAAAGTCCAATTTATATTTACCAAATTATATGTGGAATTCCCCAATCTTTTTTAAATTTTGGACTTTAAGAACTTTGGAGCGAGTTTAGAATTAAAAGCATTCTTTTTACTACTTTGAGCAAAATTCCTTCTGAAGGCGATTTCACCTTCAGAGAACGTGTTAGGTCTACTTCTTAAGTTGTAATTTCTTTTACTAATTTGGTAGGCCTGTTCTAGATTTTCGGTAGCTTGTTTTTTTTTTAAATTAACGTAACTTTGTCATTGTGATCGATAACATCAGAACCTTTTTCGAGCAAATCCAATTTTTTCAAAAGCTCATAATTCTTACCATGCGTTATCATCTGATGACCAAATATAACATAATATGGTGAAAATCATAATAAACTATGATAGGAACTTCTCAATGCGACTCCGATCTGACCTGTACAGTAGTCGATTAGGAACAGTAAACTCAGTTATATTCTCAGAGTTCTCCTTTAGGCCAACTTGCCAAAAAGCGTGTTTTAAATCGACAGATGAAATGAATTTTTCTTAGGTTGCGGATAAGCGTCTCGAACCGTTACACTATTTAATCTTCAAGAATCTAGACATAGCCGAAATTTTCCTTCTCTTTGGACGCACGCTACTATTACCCCTAATTCAATCATTTTATCGACTTCTTCGTGTGTTCTCTTCTCCACAGCAGGGAATACCGAAAAATACCGTTGTCGAGTGCTCTATAAGTGTTGTTTTTCCTAGTCTTTCCTTTTCGAAATCCGGAAAAAGAGATATTAACTTACTCAATCCTTTCATTTAGCTTGAGGTTAACAAGTTATCATCACCATGAGATAGTTCATTTATCTGTGTTAATATATCTTTGTCCAAAGACATCATTAATCCAAAAGCATGTCACAAATTCATTTGGGAATAATGTATAAACGAATATAATTAGTTTTGTACTTATAAGTAATGTCAATTTCTACATAACCTATAACTATAAATTTGTCTCCACTTGCAGTCTCAATAAACTTGTCATATTTTTTATAGGGAATATTCTTATTTAAAATTTTTTTTTCGCGGCCACTCCACTCATACATGATATCGACGCACCTGTATCGAGAAGTCCAAGTAAGTCACCACCAAAAAACTTAATTTGAGCATATGGGCTTATGTCTGATTGACTAACATTAATTGCTTCAATGGTGTTCGTAAGCATATCATGCATTCGGTTCAGATTTTGGTAGAATTTTCTCAGCACAAGGTGTTTCTTTTCATTTTTCTCTTGACATTCAAAATTTCATCAGCCGACTCGCAAAATATTCGTTTTCTTGATATGTGATAAAGTCGTAGTCTTTCATGGTAAGGTCTGATTGCGTGTAATTGAGCAATAAAATCTTCTTTAACCGACCTATTCAGAATTACGTAATTCTCTAATCTTTCATTTGCGTTATTTGTTGAGGTTTGAGGTGAAGTTTTCTTATTTAAATCTGTTTTACTGTCGAGCGACAAATACTGTTGTTGCTGAAGCTCCTCTTCCCGTTTCCCTGGTATTCCTCGCATTGGGGTTTATGCACACCTCTATCCCCGCATCGGGAACAAAACACGGTTGGGTCTTCGAAGCAATCTACATATCTATGCCCCTCGTTCCGACAATTCCAATAAATTGACTTATCCACGTTCTGCACTTATATTTAGTGTTCTATGTTGTATCAGTATCTCCTTTTTTCGGCGGTTTTAAGTAAATTTTTAATCATGTTTACAGTAATTTAGAATATAAACTTCTCCCAGGGGTCACAGAAAAATAGTCGACATAGGTCCACCCCTGTATTTAATTCAAACCGAGTTCAATAAAATTATTTCAATGCCAAACTACCATAATTGTACATATAAAATGTTATATGATATTAACTGCGATTGTTTTGTCAACATTTGCTATTCGCTTTAGACATTTTAGTAAAGCATGCTCTTTATTTTACGCATGTTTCCTCTCCTCACTTTCCCACTCATGACGTGTGGATTAAGTAAAAAAGAAAATTTTTCAATTCTGGAAATAATGATCCGCATTTTAAACTATGAAGCAAGTAACCATTTGTAATTTGACTAAAAATCATTGTATACAAAATTATTAAAAAAAAGTAAAATAAAAATTGGGTGCAGTAATAAATGTTCTCTTCAGGAAAATGTATCAATTTCACATAAAAATGTACAAGGAGAAGCTAAAATAAAAAAAGAAAAGTTTGAGTATGCGCAATTATTTACTAGCGTTATTCCCCTCCTATGTAATTTAATATTTTATTTCCTGTTCATTTATATTAGGGGAGATAGTGAACGTGAGAAGTTTCACCTGAAATGAAAATTTGCCTATTACCGAAAAAGTTGCCTAGTGGTACTACAATGATAAACACTACTGATATTATAAAGGGTGTAATATTTTTTGTATTCGTATTTTTTTAAAGAACAGTCCCAATTACCTAGATCTTTACCAACATAGGATCGAATCACGGCAACTATTGAGTGGTTTACTCCTTCCAGTCCGGTAAACTCTTTTGATTTTCTTCAATGTGCTTAATTAAACCACAATATTCTGCAGATGTAAAATGAGGTGATCTTAACTCTATATCTGGCTCTGTCAGGTCTAAAGAATCTATTTCTTTGATCATCTTTTCGACGTTATTTGAAGGTAATCGGGATAGTGCATCCGGCATTATATGTTCTCTTCCTTTTCGATGGAGCATGGTAAAGTTGAAGCCCTGGAGCTTGAGAGACCAACGTGCCAAGCGTCCGTTAAGATCCGGTTGTCGCATCAACCATTTTAAGGATGCATGATGTGAGATCACACTGAACTAATGCCTTTCTATATATTCCCGGAAATTGCTGATGCTTAAGACGGCCGCTATGCATTCCAATTCCGTTATAGAATAATTTTGTTGGACTCTATTCAACTTACGTAAAAAATGCAAGTGGCTTTTCTATTCCTTCTTTCCTTCTATTCCTTCTTCTTTTCTATATTGCACGCATCGCAAGATATTATGAATGATTTATCAAAATCTGGTGTTACCAGCACAGGGGCTGCTGTGAGTTTCTCCTTAATCAAGTCGAATGCTTTTTGAGCTTCAGAATTCCATCGAAAACGTTTTGTAGATCGATTTAGATCGATAATAAGACTAGTAAGAGAAGCAAAGTTCTCTACGAAAATTCGAAACCAGCCTACCAAGCCTAAAAATTGCCGAACTTCTCGTATGGATCTTGGGGGAGATAATTTGGTTATAGCTGACACTTTACCATTATCTGCCTTTATACAACCGTCGCCTATAATATAGCCTAAATATCTAACTTCATTTAAACACCATTCACATTTAGAAATATTCAAAGTTAAACACGTTTATATGATCTTCAAAACTACCACTCATTAAAAGTAAGTCGTCTAAATATACGAATACCCTGTTTCTTAGGTTTGGTGGTGTAATAGCGTCCATTAAGCGACAGAGGGTTTGAGCAGCATTCGTTAGACCAAAAGGCATAACTTTAAATCTGTACAGTGGTCGATTAGGAACAGTAAAGGCAGTCATATTCTTAGAGTTCTCCTCTAGGCCAACTTGCCAAAAAGCGTGTTTTAAATCGAGAGATGAAATGAATTTATCTTGGGTTGCGGATAAGCGTCTCGAACGGTTACACTATTTAATCTTCAAGAATCTAGACATAGCCGAAATTTTCCTTCTCTTTGGACGCACGCTACTATTACCCCTAATTCAATCATTTTATCGACTTCTTCGTGTGTTCTCTTCTCCACAACAGGGAATACCGAAAAATACCGTTATTTAATAGGCTGAGTTGCTGGCAAAAGTTTCGTACTTATAAGTAATGTCAGTATCTACATAACCTATAACTATAAATTTGTCTCCACTTGCAGTCTCAATAAACTTGTCATATTTTTTATAGGGAATGTTCTTATTTAAAATTTTTTTCGCGGCCACTCCACTCATTCTTGATATCGACGCACCTGTATCGAGAAGTCCAAGTAAGTCACCACCACACAACTTAATTTGAGCATATGGTCTTATGTCTGATTGACTAACATTAATTACTTCAATAGTGTTCTTAATCACATCATGCATTCGGTTCAGATTTTGGTAGAATTTTCTCATGCGCAAGGTGTTTTTTCTCATTTTTCTCTTGACATTCAAAATTTCATCAGCCGACCCGCAAAATATTCGTTTTCTTGCTATGTGATAAAGTCGTAGTCTTTCATGGTAAGGTCTGATTGCGTGTAATTGAGCAATAAAATCTTCTTTCACCGACGTATTCAGAATTACGGAATTCTCTAATCTTTCATTTGTGCAATTTGTTAAGGTTTGAGGTAAAGTTTTTTTATGTAAATCTGTTTTACTGTCGAGCGATAAATGCTGTTGTTGCTGAAGCTCCTCTTCCCGTTTCCCTGGCATTCCTCGCATTGGGGTTTATACACACCTCTAGCCCCGCATCGGGAACAAAACACGGTTCAGTCTTCGAGGCAATCTACATATCTATGCCCCTCGTTCCGACAATTCCAATAAATTGACTTATCCACGTTCTTTCTA